AAAAGTTGGATACCCAGGGCAGTCATTTGTGTGTTGGAAATGATGCTTTGTTCTAAGCTGTTCGGGCACATTTGTAGATCAGCAATATTACTTGTTGATAAGTAGACAGTAATGTGGATGTATTACGTATCCACATTAGCTTCAGAAACACATAGTATGTCAAGAGTAAAGGGATTTTTGAGATGTTTTCAAGGAAACCTAAAAATTGATTTAGTGACCTTAAGTTCCAGGGACATCCTACTGGGTTTATGGAGCTCTGCATCAACAGTTGTAACATCAAAACCCTTCCCTATTTGTTGCATGTTTTTAATGAGACCTGAAAAATAAGGTTCATTATTTTTTATTCATCCATAAGGAAACATTCTGAGGCCCCAAGTGAAGATGCTGGGTCTGGAGAGAACTTTATGAAACAGAACAGGTTAAAACACCTTTCACCAGAGGAATGAAGGTATTTAGTAAAAGGTTGATTCAGAAGAGGACCACACATCAGCTTTGAGAGCCCAGAAAGGAAAGCAGGAGTCCAGTTCTTGCTCCATCCATACAGTGTACCACAGCTGCATCCCCAGAAACTTCAGCTTTAATGGAAGCAGTGAGGACACCGCCTGTCTGGCAGGAGCTGGTTTGGATGGTGTCTTATGCAGAGCGAGTGCTCCCTACTTTTGGAGAGCGAGGGCCTCTTTCCCGTCCTGGTCAGTGAGGGAGGGGGGAATCTCGGGTTCCACGTGGAGAGATCCTTAGAGACTTCCCAATCTTGCTCTACTTCTGACTGTCCCAGTCCTAAAGGAGGTGGTTCCCAGACAGAAGGGACGGTAGCCTCACAGCCCATGGATCGCTGCTAGGGGAACATGAGAGCTTCCAGCACCCGTGCCTCCCCTTCCCCGAAGATGACGTTTATTAAACTAGATTGTGCAGCTGAATCACCTGGAGGGCTTGTTAGACACAGATGGCTGCCCCCGGCCCTGCACCCTGTTTCTGGTTTAGTAGGTCTGAGGTGGGGCCTGAGAATGTGCGTTTCAAACAAGTTCCAGGTGATACTGATGCTGGGCCTGGGCCTGCTCTTTGAGAACCACTGCCTAAGAGTACCACCATGGAAATAAAGGGCATAGCTGCAGCACCCACTTCCCAGCCAGCCAGCCGAGCCCTTCTCTCCCTGGGGAGGAATGAAAGTCCAGGTGGGAGAAGGGGCCTTTGACCAGGGGCGGCCTGGGGAGGCAGAGCTGCACACTGAGTGTAATGCTTAGAAGCATTAATTGTGAGACTTTGCTCTGCCTGAACTGTGATGAAATAATTGAAAGCATCATAGCAAGAAGTTAAACCCTAGGGAGGCTATTAACAGTTTAGCATTTGCAGCTCCTGTGGGAATGTCGATTCTACTTACCAGGGAGAGCCTGTGGACGTGTTCAGTGGGAGAGGTGGCAGTCGGCTGGCGTTCCCCACTGCCTTTGCGTTGACGTCCTAGAGGAAGAGAAACTCAGGGATGAGCCTGTCTTACAAAGACAATGCCAGTGGCCTGCTAGGCTGATAGGAAGGGTTCGCTTCTCTTCAGCTTGCTAATTCTGCAGGGGGGCGGGGGGCAGAGGGGAGCCAAGAGTCGTAGGAGGCAGGTCAGGAGCTATTTCCCAGTTTTGAAACCAAGTCAGTTCACTGGGACCTTTTGAAAGGCTCACTCGACACCTTTGGGCTGGACTCTCCCCCAAGAGGTTAAAAGAGTTTGTTTCTCCTAATGGGCCAGGAGAAGGAGAGCCCTCCTCGCTGGTACTTCTTGGCCAGTGGAGACCAAGCAGGAACGGCAGAGGGAAGGAGATGGAGATCCCAGGAAAGAGCACTGGACAGGGACTCAGGAGGCTAATTCTGATCTTCACTTTGTGACTAATCATCAATATAGCCATGGGCCAGTCACTTACTTTCTTGAGACTTTAGTTTCCCCATCTGTAAAATGAAGGCATAGATTTGATGATCCCTTAGGCTTTATACAACTCAAAAAACAAAAGCCAAACCAAACCATGGTGGCAGACACCCCTCGCTCTGCTGGATGAGCCCTCAATGTGCCACGTGGCCTGGCGCTGTGGACAGCTGGGCCAGGCTGCTGCCCCGAAGCTCAGCGTGCTCGGGGCCACCAGGTTTGTGGATAGGTTTGCCAACCAGAGACACATGCAGGCGGCCAGGACTGGATCAGGTTAACAGTTCTCCCATTTCTTGCTGGAGGCCTTTTGAGGCACCTCACAGGCTCTTCCCAGAGTGAGTGGCAGGGAATTTGAAATTAGACTCTCCCTGTGTAATTTCCTTACAAGTCCAAGTACCTTGTTGCTTTTTATGCTGGGGTCACAGAGGTACCTCAGTTGTGTGGGTTGCCTAAGAAAAGGGTTTTAGTCTCTGCGACAAACACTCATTAAATAGCTGAGGTGAGTACAGGTGCAAAAATGAATTCTCAGATTTCTCATTGAAAAACACTATGACTAAATCTGTAGTTAATTCTGCCCCATACTCTCAATTTATTTAACATGAGCAGTCAGCTGAAGACATACTTATTTTTTGAGTCCAGTCTTCCTACTTTTGCTGGTTCATTTTGTGCTATTTACTTTGGGGTCAAAGAGGAGTCCATGGCTTTACAGATGGCCTTGGGCTGGGTGGAGGCTCCACAGCAGCCTCCCTTTGCAGTCCTGATAACAACAGACTTATGCTATCCATGTAAGAGCTTCCACGAGCCACATGCCATTGTTACCCACCTGGTCCTCATGAAAGGAAACCTTGTGCCGACTGCCCTGGCTGTTCTTGGTAATGTGAACTATGTAAAGAGAACAGGATGTATTTTACACTGGAGACCTGCTGTCCTAGAGTATAACAACAACACTTTTAAGTGCTCTTAATATTAAGCTAATGGAAAACATACTCTGTTTACTCACCATCAAAGTCTGTTTTTCTTCTCTCTTGCCTCCCCCAATCATCACAAACTCCAAACCTCTAGAACACACTCAGCGTCTCCTGCTCCATCGGTCCTTCTCTCTGTTTCAAGGTTGACCCCTACATGCTTGGTTAGCTCAAGGTGGACTTAGAAAAGCTAGGAACTTACCACATAAACCATATAATCCCCAGGTTGCACAAACCAAATATTTCCTTTCTCACAAAAATTTCAGTGCTAGAAATGCTTGATTTACTGCTAGGTTTATGTTTATTAGCGTGAGAAGTGATTTTCCCTCACCAGAGTGCACCAAAGTGCAGTAGACTGGAGAAGGTGGGTCACTTTATCTGGGTGCCACTATATTGGAATGTTGCTTCTCTCCCTGTCATTTAATGGGAGGATTTCTTATGCTCATGGTGAGAATTGGCCAAAGTTATTTTAACCTTGGAATTCTAATCTTTATTCTTCACTGCTTTGTGTCTATATGGGGTACTCCACTGATAGAAGCCTGGAGTGTGGCTCAACTAAGTCCTGAGATGCCTAAGGTTTCCCTGTCATTGAAGGTGCTGTCAGAAATACAGCTTGGGAAGAGGGGCAGTGGGCCGGGGAGGGCAGAGTGGGACTCTGAGAAAGAATGATTCACAAACCCACTCCTTTCCTGACAGCATATTGGTTTTTCTTGGGCTTGTCTATAAAGTATAGTAAATGTATGCATGTAAACCAGCCTTGCAGATAAATCCCCCATTTTACCAGCCTACCCATAATATTACCAATTTTCCCTTGCTATTTACACATCTTATTATAAAACAATCATCAAAAAACTACAAGCAAATGAATGAACCACCCCCAATACAAAAAAACACCCCCCCCAAAGCCCTCTTTCCTTTTGTTAAAAAGACCAAAATTAAAAATAAAACCAAATTGTGGGGAATAACTCATCACTGTTCTTTTGATATAGGCGTTGGGCCTGTTAACTATCTGCAAGGCTGTTGTAATGATGTTAATCTATTTTAATGGAATTGAAATGTGATATCCTGTGGTTTGCAATGCACACTGTTCATAGCTTTAGTGCTTGATTTTGGGTTTCTTTCACAGATAAACTTCTGCACTGGAGGGGCCTCTCCTCCCCTCGTTCTGCACACGGAGCTCTAATCCCCACGCCTGGGATGAGTGCAGAATATGCCCCGCAGGGTATTTGTAAGTTGAGCATTATTTCTTCTACAAATGTCTATGTGTATAGAGATGAGAGTTTCTGGAAATTACCCTTACTTTTTAAGTACTGTAAGGAGTTACTTCCAAAATAGATTGGCATCCGCATATGTATTATTCCATTACTCACTTGGCACCCTGTTCCCTACTCCACTCAGCTTTTCCCTCCCCTTTTTCCTTCCTTTCCACACTGAGGGCACGGAGCTGACAGAGCTCGTCCCTGCGGGCGCCCTCCCCAGAGTCTTGTCTGGCTTCATGGCTGGTGACTGTGTATGTCTGTGTGGTCGGAGCCTATTTTATTGCTGGACATTTACTCCCATGGCCTCATTTAAGATTTTGAATTATCCATGGCATATATTTTTAGCAAAGGCCGGAACCAAAGGGAGTCGGTTTAGAATTACTCCAAAGTTATTCTCATGCATGTTATATATGCATTTACATGTGTATTTAAACATGGTGTATTTTTATATATATGCGGTGCATTATGTATGTGCATACATATGTAATTTCTACTTGTTTTTCTTCTAGTTTTAGAGGAAAATGCATAGCATTGTTGCTAAAATTCAAAGATACCACCACCACAGCCACCACCACCACCATTACCACAACCACCACCACCATCACCATCACAACCACCACCACAACTACCACCATCACCACCACAACTACCACCACCATCAATACCACAACCATCACCGTCACAACCACCACCACAACTACCACCATCACCACCACAACTACCACCACCATCAATACCACCACCACAACCACCACCACAACCATCACCGTCACAACCACCACCACCATCACCACCACCACAGCCATCACCACCATCACTACCACCACCACCAATACCACCATCGCCACCACCACAGCCACCACCACCACCACCACCATCACCATCACAACCATCAATACTGCCACCACCACCATCACCACCACAACCACCACCACAATCAACAACCACTGCTTGTTCAAGCCTAATTTTATAGTGGAGACCTTTTTATGAAATTTAGATCTGTATGTTTATAAAAATGTTTTTGAAAGATGTTGTTTTAGAAGGTAATACAGTTTGCTTCTCTGTGTAGGAATAAATGGTATGAGTCACGCATGGCTAAAAACTTGGATGGGGGGTGTGCTGGGAGGGCTGATTCTACCCCAAACACACAAAAAAGCAGAATCAAGAAAAAAAGAAGTGTGACATCTAATTTTTATTTAAGGAAAGTATTTTTATTTTGAAAGTAAATGAAAAATAGCCTGTTGTGGAAAGGAAGAGAGAGAGAGAAAGTGTCATAATGGAAGAGAATACTTATGAGCAAGAAGCAGGAGTTGGGGCTGTAAAAGGGGCTGGTTGTTAGATGGGAGGTAAACTAGACCTGTGAGTGGTGTCTGCAGGGCAGGGCATGTACCCTGAGACCAAATTCAAAGCCAGTTGTTTATTTTTGTTACTCCTAGGTAATCCTCGGTAACAAAGAGTTATTGTGTGAATTTCACAAGCCCTTGGGTCCTGAGGGCTGGGTGGTGCAGGGGTTAAAAGCACCCCTCCACATACACACCCTGAGCTGGGTTTAAGCCTGGTTAGGTCAACAGATTGCAGAGTTTAGGGGGTTGGACTCATGGTTTCGAGTCCCTACATGCTGACTGGGCGCTGGGTGGAGAGAACTCTCCCTGTTTGGCCGGGGGTGCCTGGGGCCCCACACTTGGCTGTGGGAACAGAGCCACCCTTGGATGGAGGGGAAGGAAGGGAAGTAAGGCAGTAAAGAGGCAGGTGGAGCTGAGTGGCCAGGCTGAGCTGGCCATGCAGTCAATTCAGTTCTCTCCCACTTGGTCCTCCTGAGGGCAGGGAGTTTGATTTGAGGGGTGGGAACTAGGAACCTGACAGGAACCCCTGTCTTCCTCGCTTGCTGCAAAGGGAGGGTGCCTAGTTTGTTGGTGCCCATGCTGGCAGGACCAGTTTAGGAGTGACCAGAACAGGTATGTGGAAATGGGTTAAGGGGTTCCAGAAAGCTCTAGAGCCAAGCTGACCCCCACCCCACTCAGCTGTCTTAACCAGGCTTTCAGAGCCCTAGGCCCTTACCTTGTGGCTTCCCTGCTGATGGGGATAATCATGGTCCTTAAAACAGCCCCCTCCTGCCTTCCTCTAACCTGGGCCCCCCACTCGCCTGGGGTAAGATCCGGATTCTGGCTTCTGGATTCCGACTTTCCCTGGATGCCCTTCTGGGTGTGTAATGTGGTTAGTCATTGTGCTGGGTAACCAGTGGAGCCTGGTAGTAATGAAAACTCACATTCGAGTCCATTCACATTGGCCCTGATAGTTTAGAGAGCGCTTTTACATATGTCTGTCATTTGAGCCTCACAGTTCTTTAAAGTACTATTTTTATGCTCATTTTACAGATAGGAAACCTAAGTAAGTGACTGTCCCAGAGCCACAAGCTGGCAAATAGTAGAGCCAGGGGTCCAGCATCAAATCTCCTTGTTCTTCTAAATCCTGAGGCTTTGATCATGTGACTTTTTTAATCACCTGACAAACTAGAAATGGGGTCATTCCTTCCCATACAATAAAATGAAATAAAATAAAAGCCAGTAGGTGAGCTAATAGCTCGTTTTAACCGTTTTGATGCCCCAAGTTTCTGCGCTTGGGGCCAGATCTCAGTTTATTGCTCTAAATCAAAACAATCCCCATGATTGCCCAATGAGGCTCTCAAATTGAGAAGTTGATTTTCATCAGAGTAAATGAAGAATATTATTATATTTTACAAGTCAATAAATCAATGTAGCACTAATTTTGCCACACAGGAAATCAATTCTGGTCTTTCTAAACCATCAAAGATGTTATGAACAAAGTAATTTCACAAATTATGGCAAGTAACACATTTATTGATGACTGCAGTTGAGGAATTTAGAATCTGTGAGCACCGTAATATAATATGGTACACTGGCATGAGCCGAGTGAAATACAGATTATATGGGGAAACTGTAATGCATCATTTGCTATTAGTGGACTGGTAATAATTACCAGTTTCAAAGCAGCTCTTTCCATGTAATCTTTAGTCTCAATCGTAACAGCCCTTCTCATTGACTTTATGATTACACTAGCTGCCCTTATGATCTAGAATATCTAGTTGATGGGAATACTAAAATGCGAGTGAAAACTGTGTGTTGTATGCTCATTAGAAGATAAAATGCCATTTTTTCTGACCCGATGTATGGGAGAGAGGGGAGGGTAACAGCACAGTGTTAACATATTGTAGCATGATCATATCACTGGCTCTGAAAACAAAATTTTAGGAAGCTCAGGGCAGCAAAATAAAATGGGCTTTTCTCAGTTAAGCCTTTTTGAAAAGATACAGACGTGGAAATCCCTGATGCAGTACAGTACTATACAGATCTTGGCATTTATCAGTGGCCACATTCATGGGGCATGAATATTATAAGGTAAAATATGATTTTAAGGCATTTGGAGTGATGAAAGTGTTAAGGACTTGCTTCAGCTGACAAATCCTCTATTTTACTTACCCAATTCAGATTGTCAGGCTAAATGTGTGATAATAACATAGAGTCTTAGAGAGGCAAAGGAGAGAGCCACGGAGGGTCACCGAAGTTGGAACCAGATCGTTTTTTTCCTGCCTATTTAGGATCCAAGTAAAAAAAAATTATGAAAATACTCTCAATGATGCTTTTTATTTCCCTTTGAAGAGAGGCAAACAAAAATAGGCAGATAATGTGATACTAATGTCAGCGTTTTCTTTCAAAATCTTTCTGCTTTTTTTCCCCCCTCCACATTAGGCAAATGTTTAAAACCTAATTTTGGTGTCTTATCATCTAATCTTGTTAAAGAGATTTACCCAGGAGTGGGATATATTGAGTGAGATTATAAATGCATTGTAAAGTAAATTACAAGGTCAGGGCAGGGAGTCCATTATTCAGACAAGTGCTTGAGCGAGGCTGGCTTGTTTTGGGAGACTGGCGTGTTTTGGAATATGAGTGTTTGGGGCTCCTGAGAAGCCCCTGCCAGCTTTTCTTTCTGACTTGCTAAATGGAGGAGTCATAATTGATTCCTCATTCCCACTCTAGCTCATGTATGAATTTTTTCCCTTTTTAAAAAGTTACCAGCCAAGGCTTTCAGGAACTCCTCTGGCCCCTCTTTTAAGAGAAGGGCTAAAGTTTGTTATTTCTCATTTGTGTTTTATACACTGCCTTTTTTGGAATCCCTGGGAAGTTATCTATTTTTCTGCTCCTGTCCTTTGGCCACCAACATTTGCACCCTCTTTAATGCTGCAGTTGACTGGTAAACTGTTAGTTACTGCCTTGGCGTATATATGTTTTTTGTGGTTTTTTTTGTTTTGTTTTTTTTTAAATTTAGCTATCTCTAAAAATGAATGATTGTGAAGTCAAGCTGGCCCCTCTTTGCCAAAGTGGCATTTACCACTCTCGGGTTCTTTTCAACGAGAGAGAAATAATGTGACTTAAGCAGGGCCCCTCTCCAGACGGCTTGGCTACTAGCCAAAGAGTTGACTAGCTGAACTGTATCTTTCTGTTTCTTTCTCAACTGGAGCTGAGGCTCAGCCGAGGGCGCAGGATGTTGTATAATTTGGTTCACGTTGTTAGCCTCTCAAAATAATGAGGAGGAGGACAGGGTAGCATTTCCCAGCCTGCTGCCGGTCATGGTGCTGGCTGCTCTAGCTGTTCTTAAACTAGGATGCTGTGTCTGCTTAAGTTGGCACCGGCCTCTCCTCCTAACTCTAGCCTTGCATTTGTTTGACTGGGGGACAACTCCTAAAGATTTGACATGGCCTGTTGGTTAAAAGCGAATTAAATTTCTCTTTTGAGATTTTCACAACATCCCTTGAGATAAAAATGAGAATCCTTGTGGGACATTGTGGAACCAGAATTGGGACTCCCTGACCCTGACACAGGCTGGGATGTGAGAATGTTGCTAGTCTCTCTTCCGTGGAATTATTTTTTGAGAAACTTCTCATTTTCAACAATATCAACAATTAGTGTATTTCAGGCTAAGATTAAAAGCATCTCTAGGGCCAGCGAGAATTGTAATGAGTTGACCTTCTCTTTTTTGATATCTCTATGAAATGATTGCCTATTTAGAAAGTTCACCTGCCACCCAGGGGGGAATAGAACGATGGAATTTAGGGAGCAGGAAAGTTTCCCTTAGGTCACCCTGTCCAAGTCTCTCACTTAACAAATGGGAAAACGGAGGCACAGAGATGAAATGGCTTCCCCAAACCACAGCTGGTGACAAACTGGAAAGTTCAGAAGATGTTTGCTGAAGTTCCCTAGGCCGTAGGCATCGTCATCCTCAAGCTTGAATTGGTCTAGATTTTTCTGCTTTGGAGACCGGATTTAAAATTCTTAGAACTGAGATAAATGTCAGGAAGACTGATTCGACAAATATTTATTGGGCACCAACCACTGGATGTGCCAGGTACCGTGCAGACACAGGGAGGGCTCAGTCCTTGGGGCTGAGGGCCGGGGGCAGGGAAGGATGGAGGTGGAACATAAATAAGCAATAGCTGATGCCCTCCTCAGTGATTAAACATTGATGTTGGTGTTGTATTATTTTGCAGGTAAAGATGAGCCCAGCAGCTACACATGTACAACTTGCAAACAGCCATTCACCAGTGCATGGTTTCTCTTGCAACACGCACAGAACACTCATGGATTAAGAATCTACTTAGAAAGCGAACACGGAAGCCCCCTGACCCCGCGGGTTGGTATCCCTTCAGGACTAGGTGCAGAATGTCCTTCCCAGCCACCTCTCCATGGGATCCATATTGCAGACAATAACCCCTTTAACCTGCTAAGAATACCAGGATCAGTATCCAGAGAGGCTTCCGGCCTGGCAGAAGGGCGCTTTCCACCCACTCCCCCCCTGTTTAGTCCGCCACCGAGACATCACTTGGACCCCCACCGCATAGAGCGCCTGGGGGCGGAAGAGATGGCCCTGGCCACCCATCACCCGAGTGCCTTTGACAGGGTGCTGCGGTTGAACCCAATGGCTATGGAGCCTCCCGCCATGGATTTCTCTAGGAGACTTAGAGAGCTGGCAGGGAACACGTCTAGCCCACCGCTGTCCCCAGGCCGGCCCAGCCCTATGCAAAGGTTACTGCAACCATTCCAGCCAGGTAGCAAGCCGCCCTTCCTGGCGACGCCCCCCCTCCCTCCTCTGCAGTCCGCCCCTCCTCCCTCCCAGCCCCCAGTCAAGTCCAAGTCATGCGAATTCTGCGGCAAGACGTTCAAATTTCAGAGCAACCTGGTGGTGCACCGGCGCAGCCACACGGGCGAGAAGCCCTACAAGTGCAACCTGTGCGACCACGCGTGCACGCAGGCCAGCAAGCTGAAGCGCCACATGAAGACGCACATGCACAAGTCGTCCCCCATGACGGTCAAGTCCGACGACGGCCTCTCCACCGCCAGCTCCCCGGAACCCGGCACCAGCGACCTGGTGGGCAGCGCCAGCAGCGCGCTCAAGTCCGTGGTGGCCAAGTTCAAGAGCGAGAATGACCCCAACCTGATCCCGGAGAACGGGGACGAGGAGGAAGAGGAGGACGACGAGGAAGAGGAAGAAGAGGAGGAAGAGGAGGAGGAGGAGCTGACCGAGAGCGAGAGGGTGGACTACGGCTTCGGGCTGAGCCTGGAGGCGGCGCGCCACCACGAGAACAGCTCGCGCGGCGCCGTGGTGGGCGTGGGCGACGAGGGCCGCGCCCTGCCCGACGTCATGCAGGGCATGGTGCTCAGCTCCATGCAGCACTTCAGCGAGGCCTTCCACCAGGTCCTGGGCGAGAAGCATAAGCGCGGCCACCTGGCCGAGGTTGAGGGCCACAGGGACACTTGCGACGAAGACTCGGTGGCCGGCGAGTCGGACCGCATAGACGATGGCACTGTTAACGGCCGCGGCTGCTCCCCGGGCGAGTCGGCCTCCGGGGGCCTGTCCAAAAAGCTGCTGCTGGGCAGCCCCAGCTCGCTGAGCCCCTTCTCCAAGCGCATCAAGCTCGAGAAGGAGTTCGACCTGCCCCCCGCCGCCATGCCCAACACGGAGAACGTGTACTCGCAGTGGCTCGCCGGCTACGCGGCCTCCCGGCAGCTCAAGGATCCCTTCCTTAGCTTCGGAGACTCCAGACAATCGCCTTTCGCCTCCTCGTCGGAGCATTCCTCGGAGAACGGGAGCTTGCGCTTCTCCACGCCGCCCGGGGAGCTGGACGGAGGGATCTCGGGGCGCAGCGGCACGGGAAGTGGAGGGAGCACGCCCCATATTAGTGGTCCGGGCCCGGGCAGGCCCAGCTCAAAAGAGGGCAGACGCAGCGACACTTGTGAGTACTGTGGGAAAGTCTTCAAGAACTGTAGCAATCTCACTGTCCACAGGAGAAGCCACACGGGCGAAAGGCCTTATAAGTGCGAGCTGTGCAACTATGCCTGTGCCCAGAGTAGCAAGCTCACCAGGCACATGAAAACGCATGGCCAGGTGGGGAAGGACGTTTACAAATGTGAAATTTGTAAGATGCCTTTTAGCGTGTACAGTACCCTGGAGAAACACATGAAAAAATGGCACAGTGATCGAGTGTTGAATAATGATATAAAAACGGAATAGAGGTATATTAATACCCCCCTCACTCCCACCCGACACCTCCTTTTTTCACCACCCCCTTCCCCTTCGCCCTCCAGCCCCACTCCCGGTAGGATTTTTTTCTAGGCCCATGTGATTTAAACAAACAAACAAGCAAGCAAACAAACAGAAGTAACGGAAGCTAAGGATATGAGAGTGCTTGTCACCAGCACACCTGTTTTTGTTTTTTTTTCTTCTTTTTCTTTTTTTTCTTTTTTTCCTTTATGTTCTCACCGTTTGAATGCATGATCTGTATGGGGCAATACTATTGCATTTTACGCAAACTTTGAGCCTTTCTCTTGTGCAATAATTTACATGTTGTGTATGTTGTTTTTTTTTAAAACTTAGACAGCATGTATGGTATGTTATGGCTATTTTAAATTGTCCCTGATTCGTTGTTGAGCAAAAATGTTGCTGTTTCCAGTTCCGTTCTGAGAGAAAGAGAGAGAGAGAGAGAAAAAGACCATGCTGCATACATTCTGTAATACATATCATGTACAGTTTTATTTTATAACGTGAGGAGGAAAAACAGTCTTTGGATTAACCCTCTATAGACAGAAGAGGTAGTGCTGAAAGAAAATCCCTATGAGCTAAACGTCTGTCTCTAAAGGGTTAAATGTATTAATTGGAGAGGGAAAAAAAGGCCTTGAATTGACAAATTAACAGAAAAACAAAACAAGTTTATTCTATCATTTGGTTTTAAAATATGAGTGCCTTGGATCTATTTAAAGCCACGTTGATGGTTCTTTCTACTTGTAATAAACTTGTAGCTTAATTCAGCATTGGGTGAGGTAATAAACCTTAGGACCTAACATATAATTAATTCTATCTTGTATTTCTCACAACAATGGCTACCTAAAAATATGACCCATTATGTCCTAGTTAATCATCATTTTCCCTTTAGTTTAACCTTGTAAGCAAAACTGATCATACCAGTATAAAAGCTATTTTGCTCCTGGTGAGAGCTTAAAAGAAATGGGCTGTTTTGCCCGGAGTTGTTTTTTTGTTTTTTGTTGTTTTTTTTTTAAATGATGATTACATTGAATGTGTAACGTGCAAAAGCCCTGGAACGTGATTAAATACACGAGTAAGGAATTCACTTCATGAAGATACGTGTTTTAAATAATGTCTTTTAAAAAACTGGCACCAAAAGAAATAGATCCAGATCCACTTGGTTGTCAAAGGGACAATCAGACAATAAACTTCAAGACCTCATATACCATATGAAAGAGAAGAGGCTGACAATAAGGTTTGACAGAGGGTAACAGAGGAAAAGAAAAAAAGTGATTTATTAGCACAACGTGGTACTATTTGCCATTTTAAACTAGAACAGGTGTATAAGCTAATATTAATACAATGATGATTAACTATGAATTCTTAAGACTTGCGTTGAAATGTGACATTCTTAAAAAAGAAGAGAAAGAATTTTAAGAGTAGCAGTATATATGTCTGTGCTCCCTAAAAGTTGTACTTCATTTCTTTTCCATACACTGTGTGCTATTTGTGTTAACATGGAAGAGGATTCATTGTTTTTATTTTATTTTTTTAATTTTTTCTTTTTTATTAAGCTAGCATCTGCCCCAGTTGGTGTTCAAATAGCACTTGACTCTGCCTGTAATATCTGTATCTTTTCTCTAATCAGAGATACAGAGGTTGAGTATAAAATAAACCTGCTCAGATAGGACAATTAAGTGCACTGTACAATTTTCCCAGTTTACAGGTCTATACTTAAGGGAAAAGTTGCAAGAATGCTGAAAAAAAAAAAAAAATTGAACACAATCTCATTGATGAGCATTTTTTTAAAAAACTAAAAAAAAAAAACTTTGCCAGCCATTTACTTGACTAATGAGCTTACTTACTTGGACTCAACATTGCAAGCGCTGTGAATGGAAAACAGAATACACTTAACATAGAAATGAATGATTGCTTTCGCTTCTACAGTGCAAGGATTTTTTTTGTACAAAACTTTTTTAAATATAAATGTTAAGAAAAAAATTTTTTAAAAAAACACTTCATTATGTTTAGGGGGGGACTGCATTTTAGGGTTCTATTGTCTTGGTGGTGTTACAAGACTTGTTATCCATTTAAAAATGGTAGTGGAAATTCTATGCCTTGGATACACACCGCTCTTCAGGTTGTAAAAAAAAAAACATACATTGGGGAAAGGTTTAAGATTATATAGTACTTAAATATAGGAAAATGCACACTCATGTTGATTCCTATGCTAAAACACATTTATGGTCTTTTTTCTGTATTTCTAGAATGGTATTTGAATTAAATGTTCATCTAGTGTTAGGCACTATAGTATTTATATTGAAGCTTGTATTTTTAACTGTTGCTTGTTCTCTTAAAAGGTATCAATGTACCTTTTTTGGTAGTGGAAAAAAAAAAAAAAGACAGGCTGCCACAGTATATTTTTTTAATTTGGCAGGATAATATAGTGCAAATTATTTGTATGCTTCAAAAAAAAAAAAGAGAGAAAAAAACAAACAAGTGTGACATTGTACAGATGAGAAGCCATATAATGGCGGATCGGGGGAGCCTGCTAGAATGTCACACGATGGCTGTCCTCGGGGTTGTACATATCATTTTCGTCCCCTTTCCTGCTGCCATACTGTATGCAGTACTGCAAGCTAATGACGTTGGTTTGTTATGTAGTGTGCTTTTGTCCCTCTCCCTCTATCACCCTGACATTCCAGCATCTTACCTTCATATGCAGTAAAAGAAAGAAAGAAAAAAAAGGAAAAAAAACCACAATGTTTTGCAGTTTTTTTCATTGCCAAAAACTAAATGGTGCTTTATATTTAGATTGGAAAGAATTTCATATGCAAAGCATATTAAAGAGAAAGCCCGCTTTAGTCAATACTTTTTTGTAAATGGCAATGCAGAATATTTTGTTATTGGCCTTTTCTATTCCTGTAATGAAAGCTGTTTGTCGTAACTTGAAATTTTATCTTTTACTATGGGAGTCACTATTTATTATTGCTTACGTGCCCTGTTCAAAACAGAGGCACTGAATTTGATCTTTTATTTTTCTTTGTTTTTTTTTTTTTTTTTTGTTTTTTTTTTTTTTTTTTTTTTTTTTNACAGAGTGTGTCAAATGAGGACACAAGAAGCTTACATTGTGTACTTTAATTTTTTTATTTGGATGACCAAAGGTCATTACAACCTGGCTTTTTATTGTATTTGTTTCTGGTCTTTGTTAAGTTCTATTGGAAAAACCACTGTCTGTGTTTTTTTTGGCAGTTGTCTGCATTAACCTGTTCATACACCCATTTTGTCCCTTTATTGAAAAAAATAAAAAAATTAAAGTACACAATGTAAGCTTCTTGTGTCCTCATTTGACACACTCTGTAAATTACTTTCAAGAAAATAACAGGTTTTAAGAGAAGGCCAGTCAGTCTTTTTCAGGATTATTTCTATGGGCATTTTATGTATTCTACCCTAAAGGAACATAAAGTACTTACTATATTAAAATAGACATATCTCAAACCGTGGAAACAGTTTTTAGACTTTATAGCTCTAGAAAAATTTTCAAGAAATGGAAAGTGTTGTCAAGTCTGATGTTAAAAACTTTCTCTCCCTCTCTTAGCATAATTTATTCAGATATAAATAAATAAAAAACTTAGCGGTAATAGCATCTTAAGCTTTTATTTCCTTTAGATTTTTTGCTGTTCTTGTTGTCTAAAAGTTCTTTTCTATTCTCCCATTCCCATCCTACGTTAGAGCATAATGTAAACAAGGTTTTTTTTTAAAAAAAAGAAATCAGCTTTTTTGTTCCCACATAAAGTCTTTCCTCATGTCAAAAATAAACATACCTCCCCAATCTAAAAATCCAGAAATGAGGGCATCAGGTAAAAAAAGAGAGAGAGAGAGAAAAGAATGAAAGCAGTAACCAGGAGTTTAGCCAGATGCAGCCAAATCTGTGGAATCAGCCACTGATTTCCTGAGATGTGTGGTGGTTTCCTTGCGCTTCTGAGACGCTAGGGTCCCTAGCCAGGACAGGTTTCTTTTAGGTGTTTTTATAGGGTCTTGCTGGCTAATAGCCAGTGAGGGTGGGAATACCCTTCGGTTAATTATCTTTCGGCCAATCAACAGATTTATGAAATGAAACACCATCTTTGAAAAGCAAGTTAGGTCTATTTTCAACATCCTCCCCCTTAGAAATCTGTGTTGTCAGTTTTACAAATACTGCATGTTGCAGCATCTATTTGCCTTATTACAACACATGCCTCTGTGATACTGTCTCCCTGTTCCCAGTGTAGACGAATGGATTCAACACTGTTTTTATTCTTGTAAAAAACAAAACAAAAGCCGTTCTGTTGTCTTCTTGTGGTAGCATTTTTTTTGTTGCTCAGTTCTTATGCCCTGGTGCCTGTGAGGTAGCCTTTTCATGTCAAGCCTTTTATCTGAGGCAAGAATAGTTTTATGTTTCAAAATAAAGAGAAAGTAGTAGGTTTTTAGTTTAGTTTTTTTTTTTTTTTAAGCCTATTTGGGTGGGAAGCAGAGAGTGGAGGCAGAGAGGAATCTGGTAAGAGGGGATCTGGGAGAACTGGGATGGGGTGGGACAGGGCTGGTGACTTGCAGAACTTGATAATTGGCGGTGAACTGAGGGCAGATGTATAGTTTTTAGATTAGGTTACCTCACAGCTGAACCCAGAATGTTGTTCAAGACAGAAATATTCCCCAGTGCCAGGCCAGTTTTAGACGTGGTGACTTCTGCTCCACCACATTAAATGTCTTTAAACTGCTGTGTGTCCCTATTACTCTTTTATTAGGAGCTATGAGTGCAGCTGTGCACGTTTTGTATACAGTATTTATATTAATTTCTCAGTATACGAGGCTTTTAGTGTAATTAGGTTCTGCATCCTGACAGAATTAATGGTGGACACTGTATACTTGTATGTTCAGGTTTCTTAAATCAAATGGCAAGCAGGGAGGGGTGCAAACATCTGGTGATAAATCACAGGTTATGTTTGATTCACATGATCCCAAAGTTGACTAGATTTATTGGGAGACAGGTTCTTCAGGGTACTTAGTCTCCTGACTTATCGAGGCCCTCTTCTAAAATATGATTTCTTAAGCCGAGTGGACAATGGAAGCGTGAAAGCCTAGACAACAAGAATATAACTTATAAATGACATCCTGTATCCAGAACCCTAAAATTAAAAGTATTAACGTAAAATAACAACAACAAAAAACCCATTTCAACAGTAAGACCAATTCATGATATCCTTTTTAAGCGAGGAAAGACTAAGCACAGTAACAGTTTTCAAAATCCTCCGATAAGGTTATGTGACATTCCCGATGTGCCGATGCGATGTTCTCTACATCCCTGAACTGCCACTTGTGAAAATGTTCCTTCTTACCCTCATTTTGAGAACAACTTAATCATCAGGAACACAGCAAATGCTCTTTCTCACCGACTTTAACCCAGAAACGCTCCCGGGCCGGGACTGCCTCCACCCTGACACCATGCCTAGGCCCTCGGGTAGGGCCCCAGGACCGGCAGCCAGGCGCTGTGACGGCTGCTAAGGAGGGAGGCGGGCACTCGGTCCCTCGTTTGTCCCGGCAACGGCAGGAAGTGTGAAGTGGTCGAGTTTCTCCCAGGGCCTCCTGTGCCAGAGCTGTTTATTTACATACCATTTTTTGTATATGCAATAAGTACATACTGTATATGTTCATAATGCTTGAAGCGAGAGTTTGCAAGGAGGTGGTGGTGAGGGGTAGACAGCATTTCATTTGGAGAAATAAGGAAATGTGGTTGTTGATTCACAGGCACCGAGTTTGTGAAAAGGCACTGGGGTGTTTCAAGCCTTCCTTGCAAAGGAGATGAGAAGCCTCAGCACCCACCCTGTCCTGTTTCAAACACTTTACTCACAGAGAGCGAGGGAGGAAACACAGGGTTTGCCGTTTTTAAAGCTCTTTCCCTGCTCCCTACACACACACAAACTTGATTCCTTATGACTGTGTTGTAGTCGTGTCTTCTTCATGATGATTCTGTTACTCCATTGTCCCCGGGGCTGGTGTGTTCAAGAATGTACCCATCCCATTCTCTTTTTTTCAGACAACTTCCCATTTGAAAAAGGAAAATTGTGGGAATTTTGCCGGTATGAGGATGGGATTGGCAGTGTTCTTTAATCCTGCTTGGAAAAATGTTGTTTTTTTTTTAAAAGACTGTTAACTTTTAAAAGGCACAAGCCACTTAGCAAAATTTCCTAAGTGTCTCCTAAGGCCCCACAGCTCTCCCAATTAAGAGAAATGGACATCAGAACACACAGGCAGAATTGGGCCTACATACGTTTATGTCAGGGCTGCTGTAGCTACAAACTGTAGACTGGGTTGTTGGGTACGCACTTCTGCTCGCTGGCATCTTGTTATCCCATTAGCCCGCTGTTTTATTTAGTAAAACACATGGCTAGTGAATCAGCCTTTAGGGGGATGGGCCTGTTTCTCTCTCTCTCTCTACTTCCCAGTGTCATCTATGGTCACAGGATGCGATTAAGTCTCCCTTTCAAATGGGAAAGGAGACCAATACAGTTCACGTGGGTCATTGTACTCAAAACCTAAACTTGGCTGAAAACAACTCAGTGGTTGATCCAAATACTGGTTTTCTTTTCTGTAAAGTGTCAAAGACTACTTAAAGGGAGCATGTATCAGGTCTTTATGAGACAGCAGAAAAGGCCATCTAAGTGATTTCTCCAAAATCTACCCTCTAAACCGGGACCCTCCCAAATCCACAGGGGGCTGTGCTTTTAAATAACAGTGAACGTGGGTCCTGCCCATGCGCTACTCTGTTAGGGTTTTAAATATTGGTAGCAGGTCTGACAAGGGGGTTTGATGGGGGCATCAGCTAAAGGGGCCTCAACGACAATGACTTAGGGCTGGACTGGGAACGGGATTCCCAGAGCCCACCTGGACACAGCATGCCCCTCAGCCCAGGCCTCCACTGCTCAGGGCGGGATTCCTGAGAGCAGCTGAGCTCCAGACCCTGGGCCTCCTGCGGAGCCAAGTCAGGGGAGAGGAGGCCCCCGGCCCCTGCTTCAGGTCGCCATGGCAACGAGGCCTGGAATGCCACAGTGGTAGCCCTCTTCCTCGGCACATCACATCCGGACTCCCAGCTCTGCTGCTTCAAGTCAATGTGCACAGCAAGGGAGGAACCCCGGAGGAAAATAACCACTCCCTTCCCTTCACCATTGCCTTTCCCCCTTACAAAAGAAAAACAGGAAAAGAAAGAAAGAAAGAAAAGAAAACTGCATGTTTGAAAGAAACTACAGGCAGTTTTGGTGCAATTTGGGAGCAACTATTTTGGGTTCTGGTTTTCCTCCAGAGATTTGTTCGCCTCTTGTAAATCGTTGGCTGCTTTGACGTTGAACTTGATGACATTTCATGTTTTCGTTGTGCTGCTTTTACATCAATTTTGATTTTTTTGTTTCTTTATAATTTTATTATTATTTTAAGGAAATGTCCCCCTTCCCTCCTTCCTCCCCTGTTCTCCTCAACCAGAGGACTGTTTCCTACTCAAGTTTTCTCAGTCATAAGGGAAAGTGTTTCCTTCCAGGTGTGTCCCGAGTTTATTAGGACTATCATACGATTGGGTAGAGGGCCTGGGTCCTTCGGGGGAAGGCAGGGAGGGAGCTCATG